AGAGAGAGAGAGAGAGAGAGAGAGAGAGAGAGAGAGAGAGAGAGAGAGAGAGAGAGAGAGAGGACACGGATTGTCTGCATGCATGGCTCTCTCGCTGGAAGTGCGGATTGGTCCTAGTGACTGGTGAATGCTAGAACAGTCACTGTACAGTGATTTAGCCAGCAACGCGCACAGAAAGATGAGCTTGGACTAACTGGAGTGCTCCCTCCAGCTGGGGGAACTGTGTGGAACATTGTTCAATGACACGGGCGATGGATCTTCTCTTCTCCTTTGCTCTTTCAATCTCGTCATGGACGTCGATGATGGTGCTGCTCTCTCTCTGTTCCTGGACTCGTCTGCCTCGACTCCTACTTCTCCGTTCAGAGGCCGTCAGTCTGTCTCGGTCTGTCGTGCTCCCTTCTCCTGCTCTCCTCCTTCCAGCCCGCTTACCCCCAAAATCGAAGAACAGCTCAGGGGGGAGGGCCTTGGGGACCCACTTCCCCTCACTCAGGTCCTCAAATCGAGATGCCATACGCTGGTGTCGAGTCGTGGCAACAAGTTCCTTGTACCTGGTCTCATTGGCTTGGTGCACGCTGCTGCGCAAGCGCTCTTCATCCGACTGCAACGCCTGGATGCGTCTCACCGTCTGCTGCATCTCCTCATTTAGGGTGTCCTTACGTTCCAACAATTGCTGGAATTGCGATTCTATAGACGCCCTCTCTCTCTCTGTTTCTCTGATTGTTCGCCGTAGATCACTGCAGATCCGAGCGATGGCAGCCTCTGAGATGACGGTCGCGGCTCTGGGTGCTCCGCCGCCTCCCCTTCGTGAGGGCGACGTACTGTGGGATGCAGTGGTGATGGTTGTCGATGCCAGCGGCAATCCTGCTGCAGCTGCCGCAGCCGATCGGATGGATGCCAACTTTGCCTTGGTGGTCATCTCATCGCGTTTGCTGATGCCAATCTCCATGTCCATTATGATCCTTTCCTGCAACCTGGTGAGTTCCGCGAGTCGGAGCTTCATCCTGTGAATCTCTCGGCGCATTGCTCCGACTATATCATTGCCAATGTTGGGGTCGATAGCTGCCTGCATCTCCCGTTCAAGGAGTATCCTCCTCTCCCACAGAGAGATAGTTCGCTCCGCTTCGGTGACTTCACGGGTGACCTCGAGGAGCTCCCGCTTACCCTCTACCACCCTTGCCCTCATGCGAGCAGCATTGCCCTCTGCTTCCCGCAGCTCCCCCACCAGGTCGATCTCCATCCCAAACCCCTGCTCCGTAAGCTCCGCGCGCAGGTCAGTGCTCCTTGCAATCATGTCATTGAGCCGCACCAGACCTCGGTGCATCTCTCTCATTGCGTTCTCCACCTGTTTGATGTCCGCCCTCTCCATGGAGTATTGACTTTCCAATCTAAGATGCTTCTGCTCAAGAACAGTCACCTCGGCGCGCAGCAGTCTGGCGCGCTCCCCAAGATTGGCATTATCATTATTGAGCGTCACAAGCTCTGTCTGCAGACCAATCCATTGCCGCTGCAGTTCGCGGGAGGTTTTCAGTCGCGCCGCTATCTCCCTGCCAAGGTTCACCACGATGTTTTCCAGCGGCCCAAGCCCCAGATCTACCACAGAGGCCAGCAGCTTCTCCAGTTGCCGATTCAGTCGGTCCACTTCCTTCGTCTTCTTATCGATCTCATCGTGGCGTCGTCTTATCTCCACCTCGTGCCGCTCCACCGTGGCCGTCCTCTCCCTCACTTCCAGCACCAAAGCGTTCAACACCTCCTTCAATCGTGTGGTCCTTCCTTGTGTGGCTAGTATATCAACACGGATGCGTGCCAGTTCATTCTGTAACTGGATGCACCCGATGTTTTCATCGCTGACACGCGCTCTGAGCGCCTTTGTCGCCTGCACTGTCTTCTTCGCACTCTTCTCCATCGTCATCTGCTCGCTCAGACTGTCCAGCGTCTGCGCCTCCAGATCCTTCAGCTCTTGCGAGTACTTCACTATCATCTTCTCCTGCGTGCTGATATCTGCCTGCAGGGCGATCTTCTCCACCTTCACTCGCCCCATCGCCGCTTCCGTCTCCTCCAGCGATCTGTCCACAAGCTCATCCAAGTCGTACGGGGGGGATACCCACACAGTCACTCAGCCATCCATCAAGCCGCAGCATAAGCAAACCAAGCAGCGGGACAAGAGAGAAGTGAAATTATCTGAAGAAATCGTGAATGTCTATGCAGGGTCTAGGCTAGCAGAGTGGCCCGGGGTCACTTGCCCGGACGGGCCAAAAAACAAAAAATAAAAAAAATAAAATGTTTATTTTAAATTTCAATGTGACCCTGATGCAAAAGTTGTTCAGTTTATTTTTCTGCATAACATAGTTTTTTGGGGGGATTTTTTGGATTTGTTTTTTTTTTTTTTGGGGGGGGGAACCTTCCTTGGTCCGTGCACGGGCTGGCCACCCGGGACCCGGCGGCCCGGCTGGTAGCCTAGTGCAGGGTTGCAAAGTCGTCTGCACGACTCAGGTTTCCTCTTTTATTATGATTTTTAGAGTCTCCATCAGAGAAAGCAGTCCTTAACCGGATGCTATGGGTTTGCCTACAAACAAACGAGCGGCATGAAGGTCGGCCGCCTTATTCTGAGACACAGAACAGATGGCAGATGAGTGACGACTTCCTTTCCACTTCGAAGTTCGATTTGATTTTTCGATCCGATTCGTCCACTCGATTCTTTCATGAGCTATCATTATAATTTTAATCAAACCACCAGTAGATGGACCCAGCCTTGGCTCGCTCCTAGAATTTCGGAGGCGCGCGGCTACCGGGAACCAAAATGGTTATCGGCGGCAGCCAAAAAAGAAAAAAAGTGTGCCGCTGGCGACTCGGCAAAGCTTGGCGCAGACCGCGACGCTGCCAAGGCCGCAGTGTACTGGTGGTTTAAGGTGCTCATTTGGCAAAAGGGATACTTACTTCCTTTTCCTTTTTTTTTCTTTTTTTTGCGCGCGGTTGAGAAGCATAAGAAGACCGCGTCAAGGATCGGAGAATATGCTCTCCGTCCTTTATGAGCGAAATTGGGAAAAGGTTCAGATTCTTAAACCACTTGGCCCAGCTATGAAGTCCGAGCCTCCAGCGACCGGTATGCCGAGCCTCCCAAGCCTGGCAGTACCAGTAGCKGGRSGGGCCGRGGSKGGGGGTACCAGTTGGAAAAMAAAAAMARMAAAAAAAAAAAAAAAAAAAAAAAAAAAACCGCTGGGGACGTGGATGCAGTTGGATGTGTTTGAAAGGCCTTCCACGATTCAGACCCCAAATTCGGGTCACAGGGTCAGAGGCCCTGGCAAAGAAAGGCCGAATTAGTCAATTTCAGAAAAGACACAGTCGGGTACCTCAACAGTCCAGTCCAACAGGCACCCAGCAAACAAGTCACATCTTAGAGGCAAGAATCACGTTTCATAATGGAAAGTCATATTGAAGAGTCACATCCCACGATTAAAAAGACAGTTCCACAGGCAAGGGTCGCGTCCCAGAGGCAGGAGTCACAGTCCACAGTCAAAACCATATGCCAAAATCGAAAGTCATGGCTCAAAGGCCCAAGCAGCAGCAGACCAATGGAAATTCGGGAAGGTTCCAGGCCTTGACATTCGGAAGCAGACAGGCCGTGGGGATGTGGTACTGGAACCCAGTCAGGTCCCAACAAGCAGAGGCTGGCATGAGTTGAAGTGCAATCCAAGACTACAAGAGGACTGGCCAGCCTCCCATTCGGGCAGATTGCTCATTCGCATGAAGCGTGGAAGTGCTGGTGCACTTGTGCGCTATTCTGAGGGGCAGAGTGCTGCGCTAAGAGAGAGGGAGAGAGAGGAAGAGATTACGCTGGGAGGGAACAAATTGATCATCGTATCTATGTACGTTGACCAATTAGACAGAGCCCTCGTCAAAAGGTTGTCCGACCCTACCGTGGTAAGAAAGTTGAAGATTGGAGGCAGGGGAGGAGATGGAGGCGATGATGGAGATGATGGGGACAAAAAGGGAAAGGGTCCCAAGAAGGAGAAAGACGGTGAAGCAGAGGAATCCAGGCAAAAGATGAAGGTGAAGTTGCCTTGGACTTATACGGGGGAAAAGGAGGAAAGCATCTTCCACTGGGAAGCGGCTATGGACACATATCTGTACGCACAAAAGATTCCGTACTGGGCCGTGTGTTAATGGCAAGTTCATGCATGGCAGGGGACGCAATTAGCTTCGTTATCTCTTTGTGAAAGAGGCTGGCTGCACAACCATGGTTCAATACTCTCAACAGCCACAGATCGAAGACTTCTTCAGAGCCCTTAGAAAAGGTTCGAAGATAAAAACCTGGCCTGTAGGACTGAGTCTTTGATCCTTAACATTAGTGATCGTAACTGGAAGAGTGCGTCGGCTCTCAAAGCTACTATGGATTAACTTTTGCAGTGTCCGGATCATGGATTGACACCTACACAAATTCTGAATAACTTTGCTAGAGCGCTCCTAGATCCCCTAATAACACAACTTTATCCCCGCACTAAAGAGGAAGGTATGACATACGAGAAGTTTAGTAAGATCGCCGTAGATCACGCCGACTTCCTACAAGACGCACAATATTGCCATTAATGGAAAGACCTGCCGGCCGGCAAGAAATGGAAAGACCGGACTATCTCAAGGAATATAGCAGGGAAGGATAATATTTTGGTCACCTTCGAAGAAGGAGGGGTAGAATCACTTACCTATGACCAAATAGACTATGGGTTAGAAGAAGACAGCAATAGTCACTTAGCCCAGGGAGGGGACTATGCGGCTGTTGCAGCCCGCGGGGGAGGGCGACAAGGAGGAAGAGGCTGTGGTAGAGGAAAAAGAGGCCACGGTCGAGGTGAGGAAGAGGACCCGCCGCCCAGAGGGGTAGTGGCAAAGGTAGCTACTATGTGGGAGGTAGGGGTAACGGTCCCTCGCAAGGTGGAAGAGGTTCCTACTCCACAGGGGGAAGAAGTAGAGGTAGACGGCCATACCCGGAACACCCAGTGATAGCTGAAGGCAAACCTTGGTTAGAAATGGGTATTGATGAAAAAGTATGGGAAGAGCGTCGCAAGGCCGGTCAATGGAGGAAGACTTATGCTAACCTCCTACTTGGGGAAAACCACGATGCTGAGGGGCACTTCGGATGGAGGAAGACTTATGCTAACCTCCTACGCTCCTACACGTGGCCAGGAATGAAGCATGATTGCATCTCCTATGTGCAAGGCTGTCAGGTTTGTCAAAGGAACAAAAGTTCCACACAATGAAAAAAAAATATGGAGAAGAAGATTCATATTTTAAACTTCTAAGCTGACATTGTTTTTTTGAGTTTTCCATAAGAACCATACACTATGGTCTTCACCCGAATAGAACGCCCGGTCATTATAGCTGTATTTGGCACAACTTTTAGCCCAGATACGGCGATAATTGTCGGGCGTTCTATTCGAGTGAAGACGGTAGTTAGCAGAAAACCAAAGTACCACCGATTCCAAACTATTGTCTACCGCGTGGGCGCGGGGAACGCAGCCCTAAGGTAGCCAAATCAATGAGACTAAGAACTAGCACAAGAGAGAGAGAGAAAGAGAGAGAGAGAGAGAGAGAGAGAGAGAGAGAGAGAGAGAGAGAGAGAGAG